TTAACAACTATGTGTGTTCCTTTATTTTTCTGCACTGTTTATTGTTTGAAATTGTTCATTGTGTTGTTGTTCAGAGATCGGTGTATCGACATCTCTTAGGACATCTGAGATCTGAATACCAGAATTTCAATTACAAAAATATTTACTTAACTTTTTTACAAAAATCATGAAGTTCTCATCATCTTTCGGATTATCTCCCTTGGAGCCAACCTTTAATGCAATGCTTTTGGATTTCTTCACTTGATTCTCATGTTTTTCTAGTCTTTCAAATTCCGTCTCATTTTCTTGAAGTTTTCCAAATAATGTTGCGGAAGTCATTGCGGAGAGACTTTTATTTTCGGAGATTTAACGTCAGTTTTGGTTGCCATTTGTAACACCCCAAACTACCCGACGAATAATAAATGGTTATCAGAGTAATTTTAAATAAAATTAACAAGCTCTTAGGATGCTACACTTTCACAAACATACAAAAACCTGCCCATTCTAAATATAAGATACATAACACGATTATGGATGAACAAAATAACCAACCATGGTCTTTAACTTTATTTTTATTTAGCAGCGGAAAAGAATCACATTTCATATCAAATACTTCTTATCTAGTATAAACCAACATTTATTCAAAAGCTAAAGAGTTCATAAGACTTCGAAAAAATCATTTAAAATCGAACAAAACAATAAAGCATTCATCCCTCCGGTGTTGCGTATCAGAGAAATGACATCGACTCGAAAGTAAACGAAGAGCATCCTTTTCTTATCCTTGTAGCCTCAGACTACTCCTGACTATCTGCACGATGTTGTATAAAGCATCATTCCAACAGAAGGGTGAGATATCACAACAATATAAGAGAATGTATAATAATAAGTATAAAGAGAACATAATCATGCATAGTCATACATTACACATCTCACACGGTCACACCATTGACATCAACCATCTTATTACATAACAACTATGTAATCATGCATATTCATCGCACATCTCAACAATCATCACGTAGTACATACGTCAATCACATAACTCAAAAATATGTTAACAACAATGTAATGCAATGAGACCGACTCATAGACTCAATGCATGTGGTACCAATATCGCTCTTGAATCCATGTTACTAGGACCAAAGCCCCCAATATCATGAACAATTTGGTTCACCTCGCTCCTGATCTATGCCATATAGGATCAGAGCCAACCCATATCATAAACAATGAGGTTCACATCACTCTCGATCAACACCATCTAGGATCAGAGCCAACAAATAGGACCAAAGTCCCTAACATGAAATGCATTTGACATAATCATCCAACAAAATAAAACACATAATTATCTACATCTATCAATATGACACACAAACACGGCCACCATCTGCCCACACATACAGCATGCCAATCATAAAGTTCAAACAACATCACACAATATTATCATACATAAGTACATGCATATATCACAATATAACAGACAAAATTGCATACAAAAGAGCATAATCTCCCATCAAAAAATCACCCACTGGGTTCAAAAGTATTTTTATAAGATAAAAAATATTTTTAGCTTTCCGTAGGTTCAAACGGTGCGTCAAACAGACACCTGAGTCAAAAGTTATGAACTTTTAAAGTTTTCAAAACGATTCTGCTACAGTTCTGCTTCGCCTGAGGCTCGCCCGACGACTGGGTCTGTCGCCTGAGGCTCGCTCGTCGAAGTATAGGAGAAGCCAACACTCCCATGCATTTTCCAGAAGCACCCAATTATGTCATTTCCTTCTCCCGCTCTCTCGGCATGCGAGGCTTGGGCAAATGCTCTTGCCCGGGGACGCAAGACGCTCGCCCGGCGAAGCGTGCATGACATCGTTATTATTGTGGTTCCTGCACAGAACCAGTCCAAAATTGCATACGATTTCACATCAGAACAATTTTCAATCTACTAAAAATCAATATTTTATTTTGCCATAATAACAACACATCATTATACATATTATAGGCACCAATTCATATGAATCACGCACTTTAAATTCATCAATTTCATCACTAATTTACCATGCCAACAAATTATCACAAAACCCCAACCAAACCTAAACCTCTACCAATGGTGATATGTAGATTACCCCTACGCAATCATCATTATACAAACTCTTAGAGAGTTGGAACCTCACCCCTACGTTGGATTGACGGTTCCTAAGCTTCAATAATGAAATCTTCTTGCCCTAGCTCTCTTCACCTTCTTACCTTCTCTTCTCTCCAAAATTTGATCGTACAGAATGATCGTTCTCAACCTCACTTATTCTCTTTTACTAGCTTAACCCTTAGACCCCTATTATGATCTTCCATTCTTACCCTCACTAAACCTCAAGCAATGACCATCTTGCCCTTATTATTTCTACTCATTTTATCTAATTTAATTATTAAATAAATCCTAAACAATTATTCTAAAATCCAAATAATTCCAACTAAATTATTTAAATATTAAAAAATTCTCATTATTATTCTAATCCGACATTACCCCACACATAATATCATCAACCCATTTATTGCACCAAATAAATCATAAACAACATGCTTATGAATGCATAAAAATACACAACATCAAATAATTAATTTATTAAAATAATTCAATAAATAATCGGGGCATCCCTACAATGCATCGACCTAAAAGATTTAACGAAATAACGAGTTATTCATTCGTTTCGGGAAACCTTAGTAGGTCTCAAATCTATAGGAGACTACAAAAGAAGAAGGGGATCAGGATCCATGACACCTCCAACATAATGAAAATTAGACTGTTTGCTACAGTCTTCTACAAAATCCTTCCAAACCCCAGAGCTATCGCTGTGTATGAGGTTTCAAATAGGCTGATTAACTTCTAAAGGGTCATTCCTCATTTCTCAGTTCACTATCCTAATAGCGGAAAAAGAACCATCGCTACTAGGTATATTTATCACATTTACGAGTATATTTCCTATGTGGGCCATATCTAAAGCAATATAGAAGAGCAATGAACTGTAAACAGAAAAGAGAAAAATGGTACTTGACAAAATTGAAAACAAAGATAATTGTTATGTGAGATAATCTAGAAGGAGTGTTGAACCAGGGAATGTATAATCCAAATAAGGGAAAATATTGAAGAAATAGGTGTTGACAAGGTTCAGAAAAGAAAATCGTTGTGCGGAGAAGGAAAGGAGCTTAAAGTTCGTGTAAAGGGAAGAAAGAGTTTTGAAATCTCAAGTGACCCTTATATAGAAAGGCGAGGCAAATCTATCAAGGGTTCAGAATAAAAGAAAATGGAAAGGCAAGAAAGCAGCAATTAGACCTCGCCTCAGAAATTCAACGACACTTGAGTGCACTTGAATGTCTTAGAAAGAAGCGGCACTCTATTGTCTAGAAACCTGGGGCCACATATCAAACGAATTCTGTGAAATATCTCAATGATGAGACTCAAATTTAATGCACATGTTCTCTATGTTGTCCATGTCGACTACTAAACCTCTTCCACTTCTTAAAACAATGACATCAGTGCAAGAAATCCGATCCAGATCCTTAAGAGGCTTCTCGCTGCCACGCCACGAGAAACCTTAGAGGCAATTGTTTTGTGTCGGTTAAATGTCCAATAAGAGAAAACCTACATTTAATCTAGAACTGCACCGCTTCAACTAACTCTCATACAAAAGATCTCACATGAAAAAAAATATGATTTAAATTCATTTTAATCTCATATCACTTTTTATTCTTTTAATGACTTATACTGAAATGTTAATTTTACATGTCCGTAAAAACTTACTCCACCGTATCAAAGTTATATTTCACTATTCACCGAATAATTATGTTTCTATTTTTCGAAAACAACTAAACAACCAAATGATGCTAATTTGTTTATTAATATAAAGTTTATAAGTTAATTAAAATTTAATATCAATTAGCATAGCTTAGCCATTAAATAGAACTCGGTGGAGTGGTGATGAGGCGTCGAAAAAATACAATTGTCATAAGGTGATAGATAACAGAAAATTGATTTAGGCAGACATATCACTCATGCTCTCATTTTTTCACTTATGTGTGGGCACAAATCTTTTCATGTGAAGTTGTTGGTCGTGGATACATTTATATATAGAATAATATAATTATGATAAAACATATAACATTTCCTAAAATAAACATAACACATATTTTACGTAAGAAACAAGAATAATACTACGTATATATATCCTGCTTTGTTGGTTTTTGGTGCAATAAATACTAGATTAGCTTAACAAGGTTCAAAACATGAGTAGCATAGAAACATATCTATGTCTTTCAATGTGTTCAAATTATTGTCAATCTGCATAATCAGAATTCATAAACAAGAGTTGTATACTAAAACAAGAAACAAATTATTGTCCAAGTCGTCCGCTGTGTTTGTATGTATTTCTGCATTTATATTTCGATCTCCATTTCGTATCGTTGTGTTTGAGTTGAATGAGAGTGTTTTGATGGTTGTTTGAGTTTGTGTGGGCATTTTCATATTTGTTGTTGATGGTTGTTTGATTAGTACCAGACGAAATTCTATTCAATTTCTTTGACAAGGTTGATGGAAAATGATGTTTAGCAACCTTATGAAAGTGGATGGTGACCTTGTCATACGTAAGTTTGTTTTATGATTTTAGTTTGGTTATTTGTGATTATCATGTTAGACTAGCTGTAGAAAGAATGGGTCTGATTTCAACAGTAGAAAGGAAGGCCTTCCTTAAGAAGACCAAGGCAAAGAGAACCAAGGAGGGTGCCTGCGAGAAAAACTACCTTGCAACAAATGGTGATTGCATTTATTTTGTTCCAAAGTTCTTAACATTCTTAATCAAAGATCTCTTGGGCATAACGAGGCGTTGAAATTAATAGCAAAGCTTTAGACACATTGGATTGACAAAGTAACACTAAAATTTGTTTCATTTCATGCTGCTGCTGCTTTAAGCATTAACGTTCAAAATTGAATCATATTAACTTATTTTGTAACAACTAAGGAATTAGAATAGAGAATTCATTCACATGTAGTAGGAATCATCACTAGTAGTAACCCTGCAGCTATCAAAAGAATCACGTTTACTCTCCTTCATTGAATTAACAACCCAATGATCATACCTTGCTGAATGTGACAACATATTTTGCTTCAACAAACCACCTTCAACACTCTTACTACTTTTTTGCTTTGTTCCTAGTTTTGGTCTTTGTCTTGGTTCACTACTAGACCTTGTTTTCGCCTTTGACGATTCTGTCTTGTTCATGTAATTCGGCGATGACCATGATTGTCTAGGAGGTACCATGTCACGCTGAGATGTTGTCGGCTTCAAATAATCGATCATTTCTTTGAAGTATTTTTCTGGACTGCTTGGTTCTGTGATGATTTTTGTAGTATTATTATGATTATTCTCTTTCTTCAAATGATTTGAATAATATGCCATTGAATCATACTTTCTGCTTTTTACATCTAAAGGGCCACTTCTACTCCTCATTACTCCCAACATTTCTTCCACACTCATATTCTTCGAATCCTGTTATAAGTTGTTTTCATAAGTTTTGTTAAGATAGTTTTAAAAGTACTTATATTTATATCGGTAGATAAACCTCGGGAGAGTTTCATAAGAGGCTTACTTGATTTTGTCTTTGTTGTGTCTTGTGAGGTTTGAAATCAGGAATTTCTGTATGTTGGGGAGGTTGTATTTCGAGTGGATTTTCTTCTTCTGCCATCTTAATCCTTTTGATTCGAGCTCTAACTTGAATAGACATCAATGCGTGCATCCCTCGCAGTGTTGCAGTTGTTTGTTTCCTTACAAGATGACCTCTCACTAGTGCTTGTAACTTCACCAATCCTCTTAAAGCATGCAGTGCTCTCCTTGCCTGCAAATTTTTTACATATCTTATATCATAAACTATCTACCTGTAACACGATGTGTTTGGTGTCTGACACCAACAATAGCACACGCGATTACATTTAACAAAGTCATTTTTTAAAATTATTATCGGTGTCTACTTGTCTACGTGTCTGATCCAGTGCTCAGAGTCTAATAAAAAAATTGATGAATATGGAGAGAAGTTAAATACCAAATAGGAGCGAAAGGAAGCTTGAATCCTTGTAGCAGCTCTTTTTACAAACTCAGCAGCTGTTCTTGGAGTCTGAGTTTGGAACATCAAAGCTTGAATTTGCAATTTCGGAGAATCAATCGAGTCAAAAGACTTGGAAACTTTATGCGCTACTATCCTTCCTGTTGATCTTCCACCTGTTAGTTTTCGAAAGCTCCATTTTCGCTTCACTACCATTTTATTACTACTGCTACTACTTTTAACCGCGTTTGCGGTCTTTTTCTCCGAGCAGAAAGTATCAATCTGCTTGAAGTTCTCTTCTTTTTTCCCTAGAAGAAGGTTTCTAATCCATTTACTTGCCTTTCCCATTTGTTTCTTCTTCTCACCTTCAAAAATTCTACTTAATGGACTAATAGGATCTTATAACTAAACCAGAAGAGAAACAAATTTTAAGGCTATAATGATCTCAAATAATAAACACATTTAAGATATATAATCTTGTTACATACACATACATTATATATATTCTTGCTGATATTTGACTATTTATTATTGGCTTTGGCCTGCAAAGGCTTTCTATGATAAAGCCATTTGCCACTCTCCTATAATTTCCTATATATAGTTTAAGAAGAGTAAGTAGTTGTTTCGATTTCGTCTTTAATTGTCTAAAATACTTTCATAACAGTCTTCGAATGTATCAAAATTATAAAACATCTGAGTCTAGATTAAATTTTGGTACATTCAGAGATAACGACCGAGACATTGTATATTTATAGAAAAATGATTATTGCACTTTTAGTCTCATCAAGAGGTGCAATTTTTTTCTATTAGAGTATGAAGTAATTTTTATGGGACCATGCTGTAAGAATCAAAAGATGTTTCTTTATCAAGTTGTAACAGCTAGTTTGAGGTGTATACATTTAAATATTCAATGACACTGTCTTTTTATAAAAGAAGAAGGTAAAAACATCACTGTTTTACAATGTTTTCTTTTGTTACTATAAGTCTTTAACCAGGATTCAAAGGCCACGTACATTGCTTGCAAGCAAGTGCTAAGAAAGAGATGAATAATGTTGAACATAAAAGATAAATTTACATGAATTAATAAAAAAATGTTGTTGACTTTTGTTTTTATCTCCAAGATGTTGTAGTGTTTTTGGGTTTGGGTTTGATCTAGTCAAGGATATTCTCCACCGTTAGCTATTGAGAAAGTGAAAGATTCCAACAACCTTTCACATCAACTTACTAGAAGAAATAGTACTACTAATGTTTAGTTATATTAACTTTTTATTTTCTTTATATCGTTCATGTTTTGTTCTTTACACGATCACACTATGGTTTTTTTCACATCAACCTATTAGAATATTCAAACTGATCTTTCTGTAACTCGATTAGTTTTGTAGTTTTTCAAAGGTTTGAAGCACTGTGCAACTCATTAACCATATGAACAAAATTGTGGTAGTGGATGTCATGAAAATTGGTTGAAAAGGAGGAAAGTGATACAGAAGCTTCACTACAAGAATATATGTCCCCAGCGACATATATTAGCGACGTGCTTATCACGTGAGTAGTAGCGACGTGATAACCACGTCGCTAATATATTTTAATGACAAATAATGCAAATCAGAGAATGTTGCAAAGGGGGAAATTTAAATTTTGGTAGCGACGTGATAGCCACGTCGTTATATTTAAGGGGGAAAATAAATTTGGCTGATGACAGAGTTGCAGAGTGGGAGAGAGAATAATTTTTCTGTTTAGTTTGTAGCGACGTGATTATCACGTGGCAATGTTGCGACGTGACAGTCACGTCGCTACAAGACTTTACATCTCCAAAATTTTCATCCTTTACAGAAGCGTTGTTTTGCTTTCTTCTTCCTTTCCTCTTCCTTTCTTCTTCCTCTCAAACCCATTCTTCTTCCTCTCAAACCCAAATTACCGAATCAAATTTCCTCCATCCCAAATTGTTGAAGAAAAATAAGGTATTCATATTTTGATAAATGTTTATTTCGTTTGTTCATTATTTATTATACTGGAAATAAATATTAAAAAGGGTATTTGTTCGTTTGTTATTATTATTTGTAGAGAAATTTGAAGAAGAACACCAAGAGCTACCCAAGAAGACGCAAATTTAGTGAAGAAATTATATAGAGGTATTTATGCATTTTTTTTTAAGATTTTATATGTATTATATAGATTAGTGGTATATGTATTTTGTGGTTAGGAAGTATATGTATTTTGTTAGTAGTATATATGTACTGGTAATAAAAAAATTTAGAAAACATAAAATTAAAAGTTTTATTTTTTATAGATATATATATATATATATATATATATATATATATATATATATATATATATATATATATATATATATATATATATATATATATATATATATATATATATATATATATATATATATATATATATATATATATATATATATATATATATATATATATATATATATATATATATATATATATATATATATATATATATGTTAACACATAAATTTAATAACATATTTAATAACATATTTTTTATAGATGTATATTATATTTATTATAATAGTTTTATTTTTTTATTTATATGTTAAAGATATGGAAAAAAAATTATATATTAAAATAAGAATTTATAAAAAACATAATTAAAAAAAGAATATATATATTATATTATTATTTTAATATTATTGTTATATATAATAAAAAGTATATATGTTACATTATTTGTTTTCTAATATTATTGTTGTATATATAATAAAAAGTAAATATGTTATATTATTGTTTTTTGATATTATTGTTATGTAATAAAAAATTATATATTTTACATTTGAATATTTATTTATATGTTAGTATATATATAAAAAAGTAAAATTTATATTTTTAAGAATAGTATTAAATAGTTTAAGAATAATATTATTAAGTTGATTAATATTTCTAATGAAAAAGACAATGATTGTATAAATGTGCAGTATGGAATATTATCGGTATTATCGCAGTTGGATGTACGATAGAACATATCCAGGAAGAAGTGGACTTAAACCCAATTTTATAGTAGGAGTTGATGGGTTTATTAAGTGGGCGTTTGCTCAGGATTGTTGTCGAAGCGAAGGAGGGGTTAGGTGTCCCTGTCTTAAATGTGAATGTAGACCAATAATTAGTGACCCAGAGGAAGTAACACGTCATCTGCATAGAAGGGGATTCATTGAAAATTATTGGGTTTGGACGTATAATGGTGAAGAACTACCGGTTAATGTACCAGAGACTAGCAACACGCATACTTCAAGTAGTCGACCGGTTATGGAGTATGAGGAGAACTTTAATTTGATCGGTGACATGGTTGAGGATGCTTTTGGTGTGAACGTGACATATGATGAACCTGGAGATTTTGACGGGGAAGAGTTGCCGAATGAGGAAGCGCAAAGATTTTATCAATTATTGAACGAGATGAATACGCCGTTGTTTGAGGGGTCGTCAGACTCGAAGCTATCAATGTGTGTGAGATTATTGGCCGCCAAGTCAAATTGGAATGTTTCTGATCAATGTCTGGAACATTTTGCAAAAATGATGTTGGACTCCACCGCTACGAAAGACAATTTGCCTACAAGTTATTATGATGCAAAGAAGTGGGTGTCGAAGTTGGGTTTAAAAGTAAGAAAGATTGACTGTTGCATTAACGGTTGCATGTTGTTTTATGACAATGAGTTTGGTACTCAAGATGGATCGTTAGAGGAGTGTAAGTTTTGTAATAGTCCAAGATATCAAGTTCGCAGTAAAGCCGTTAACAGCAAGCAAAAGCGTGTAGCAGTAAAATCCATGTTTTCTCTTCCTATAATACCAAGGTTAAAAAGAATGTTTGCTTCAATGCACAGTGCAAGTCAAATGACATGGCATCATACAAACCAAACAAGTTCTGGCACTATGCGACATCCATCTGATGGTGAGGCATGGAAGCACTTTGATCGGACACATCCAGATTTTGCTGCAGAACCTAGAAATGTCAGGCTTGGATTATGCTCTGATGGATTTGCCCCATACGTGCAAGCGTCAGGAAGTGCGTATTCTTGTTGGCCAGTTATTGTAACACCTTACAACCTCCCTCCTGAGATGTGCATGACAAAACCATACATGTTTTTGACGTGTGTTATTCCAGGCCCGCACAGTCCAAAACCCGGAATTGATGTGTACTTACAACCTTTAATTGATGATTTGAAGAAGATGTGGATTGGAGAATGGACTTATGATATATCCCGTAAATAGAACTTCACATTACGAGCTGCCTTGATGTGGACCGTTAATGAATTTCCAGCATATGGCATGTTGTCTGGTTGGGGTACGCATGGAAAAATGGGTTGTCCGCATTGCATGGGATACACCAAAGCATTTACGTTGGATAAAGGTGGGAAAAGCTCATGGTTTGACTGTCACCGCAGATTCCTACCAGCAAATCATCCATATAGAAGAAACAAGACAAATTTTAAAAAAGATGTACGAGAGAAAGATTTGCCTCCGCCTCGATTGCCACCAGGGGTTATATGGAACCAAGTATGTGAACTACCAAAATTTACAGATACTGGCAAAGCATGCCGAATTGAAGGATACGGCGTCACCCACAATTGGACAAAAAGAAGTATATTTTGGGATCTTCCGTATTGGAAAGATAATTTGTTGCGCCATAATCTTGATGTTATGTATATTGAGAAGAATTTTTTTGATAATGTATTTAACACAGTGATGGATGTGACAGGAAAAACAAAAGATAATGAGAAGGCCAGACAAGACATGGGAATTTGGTGTAATCGAAGAGAGTTGGAGTTGAAGCCTCAACCGAATGGAAAATTATTAAAACCCAAGGCTTGTTTCAGTCTGACTTCCCAAGAAGCTAAAGCGGTTTGTCGATGGTTAAAATAATTGAGAATGCCCGATGGGTATTCATCAAATTTAGCAAGGTGTGCTGACCCTAACACTGGAAAAATACATGGTATGAAAAGCCATGATTGTCACATTTTTATGGAACAGTTGGTACCAATTGCATTTGGATCGCTACCCAAACATGTTCTTGACCCACTAACTGAAATTAGTCAATTTTTTAGAGATATTTGTGCGTCAGCTTTAAAAGTGGAAGACATCATTAAGTTGGACCAAAACATTGCACTCATTCTTTATAAGTTGGAACAAGTATTTCCGCCTGGTTTCTTTGACTCCATGGAACATTTACCTGTGCATCTTGCATATGAAGCTTATCTTGGTGGACCTGTTCAATATAGGTGGATGTATCCGTTTGAAAGGTTCATGGGTGATTCAAAGAGATCGGTAAAAAATAAAGCTAGAGTAGAAGGATCTATATGTGCACATTACTTGCATCGG